TTTTCCTTTTAACGCCTACAGCACTCGGTATTCCTAGGTGGTCTCCCATTCAAGTACTAACCAGGCGCAACCCTGCTTAGCTTCCGAGATCAAACGAAATCAAGCACATTCGGGGTGGCATGGCCATAGACTGTAATTTATATTTTTATCAAATATACCATAGAACCTCTTCATAATACTCTTCTCTATGTCCATGCCAAGAAGCAGTCTTACCTAACTTTTGATAGATTTCAGTAAATAAAACCCTAACTTACATATAAGGAGTCAGCTCTACACAATCAATATATAGTAAGTTACCCAAAGATTAACCTGCAATATCAGGTTTATTATTAAAATAGTTCAAAAAAACTATAGTAAATATGAAAGGTTATTAAATTATCACTTTATAGATTTCCCCTCCTATTGCATATTCATTATTCAAATGGTTGTACTGTGACAAAAAAGAGATGACAAAAGAATAAAAAATAAAAGAATACAATAAAGTCTATTTGTATTTCCCTTCTTTCATCCATCTAAAATTTTCATCTTTTATTCTGACTACTTACCATGCCCTCAAAGCCAACCCTGTAAAGGTTCTTAGCACCATTATCCCAGAGAACGTATGCTGCGCTATGTGGACTTGATGCACTCCAATCTTGGATTTCTGTTACCTAAGGGAATTTTTTGAAAAAGAATTTTTTAAAAAGGGGAGGACAAAGGTTAGTTCTTTCAATTTTATTTAAATCTTTAAAATCATTTAAGCTATTATCCTATGTAACAGGATTATGAAAAACATTTATTTACCAAATATGTGTCACTTCCATATTTGGTGATTTATAACTGAATTATAGTTAGAGGTATTTTTCCAGAATTTTAATTTTAAACACCATTGTAGAAATTTTAAATTAGGAGGCTTAGTGATTACAGTAGAAAATACACAATAAAAAATTTTAAATCTCTGACCAAATCAAATACCCAGAATGATTCAAGATCAGCCTGCTCCCTGGTCAGCTAAAAGGTGAGAAACAAAGGCTCAAAGGCAATGTTCAAGAAGATGTGAGTGGAATCAAAGTTGTGACGGAGACAAGGAGCAGAAACAAGGAAAAATCGCCCAGTATAAACAAGCCATACAACTATAGGGAGGAATCCAAGAAATCACCCTGCAATGGCAGAAGGTAGGAAAAGGCGAGGACGCGAGGACTCAGTCTCAAGCGGCTGAGTGAGACGAAAGCTGTGGCAGCAGCAGAGGCAGAAGCCTCTTAAAGGGGCTGGTCCATGAGTGGATTTTTGCCGTGACGGACCTGCTCACTCTGAGCAACAGTGCCGATTCGGCAGCGCGCAGGGAGCATCAGGGACTTACAGGGAGGCATTGTCGGAGTGAGGGCCAAGGCAAGTCTCGCTCTCTAGAGACATGCCAGCAGTATCCATTGTTCTCTGTTGAGCCCTCCCCCTACCAGTGTGCTAGACGCAGCGTCCTCATAGCCCTGACGTCATCAAACTGGATAACAGAGGTCACTCTGCCCAGAGGATTCCCTGAAATTCCACCTACCCCAACTCAGGCCCCACCCAAGCCACATCCGGGTATATACTCAGCGAGTAAGTGCTCCTTGCTGAGCACTGTCTAGACTCACACTGTAGGCAGCTGGCCTCGGCTTCTGGTGTGGCCTTTTGAGGCAACTATAAGCTCAGCATCTGTGGATTGCTTGCTCAATCTTAACAAGTAGCCCCAGAGGGGCACAGGTTTGGGCTAAGTTTGGCCTTCAGCTGAACCCCTCACAGGACTGTGCCATTAGACACCTACTTCACAAATCCACACTAAGACCGGGAGACTTAGGAGTTTTGCTTAGTACATAGAAACAGACACGAAAAGACAGCCAAAATGGGAAGACAAAGAAGCAGAAACCATTTGAGAGAACAGAACAGAGATTCAGATATAATGGAGTCAAGTAATCTAACAGCT